AGATTCAATCTGCCAAACCGCTGAACTGCTGATCTAGCAGTAGCCTGCAGTGCTGCATTTAACCACTGCGCCACCTTGGGAAGAAATAACATGACTTGGGAAGTCCTCAGCTGAGGCAGAATTTGAACCCAGTTTATGATGAGTCAAGGAACCAGCCTATGTGTCCCACTGTCTCATTTGTTGCTCAATGCCATACCAAGTCTAGGCTGTGTCATTACAACCCCTTCTTTCATACTTCGTTCTTCTCAGTTATATTTTTCCTTTATCTTCTAGGGTGCAATGGGTCCCCGTGGGCCACCTGGGTTACCCGGAAAACCAGGAGAAGATGTGAGTATTATTTTCTTAAACTTCCCAAGAGTAGGATCAGCAGAGATGAATCAACTTAAGTGAAGGAGAAGGTTGCTAGAAACGTTATGTTAAAATGTTTATTTAAAGATTATATCTTGATGTTTGTATCAATTACCCTACACCAATAAATCATTTGTTCTCAGAAGGGAGATGTGGATTCTAATATAATTATTGTGAAGAAGAAGGTGTTTGTAGACTTTGACAGAAGCCAAGGTGTACAGAGATATACCATTTAAAAGAAAGTATGAATTGTTGCATCACAACCCACAACAGAAATGCAAAATGACAGAACTGGAAGGGACCTTGGAGGTCTTCTGGTCCAACCCCCTGCCCAAACAGGAGACCTGTACTATTCTGGACAAATGGCTATCCAATCTCTTCTTTAAAACTTCCATTATTGGAGCACCTGAGGTGGTATTCTACTGGTTCTGATCAATTCGCATGAACCGGTAGTGGAAATCGCAGGTGGCCCCGCCCACCTGCCCCGGCTCTACAGCATCCCATTTAGGCCCTTTTTTCACCAAAAGTGCATGTGCGGAAAACTGAGTGCATGCGCGGAGGTGGCATGTTCCAGTGAAGCGAGCACATGCTCCCATTTGCAAATCAGTAGGGAAGGTAAGTCAATAACACCCCTATGGAACACCCACAAGTTCTGGAAGCAAGTCATTCCATTGATTAATGGTTCTCGCTGTCAGGAATTTTCCCCTTCTTTCTAGGCAAGATCTCTTTCTATCCATTACCTTTTGTCCTGCCTTCAGGTACTTTGGAGAATAGGTCGGCCCCTTCTTCTCTGTCACAGCCTTTCAAATATTGGAAGACTGCTATCATGCTACTCCTTGTCCTTCTCTTCGTTAGACTAAACATATCCACTTCCTCCAACCGTTCATTATCTGAGAATGTTTACTGGCTGATCAGCTGTTGAGAAGAAGCAGAAAAAACACCCCAGAAAGCTAAAAAAACAGAGAAGGATGAAATAGAAAGGGACATGATTGCCCACCCACTTACCAGGAACATCCCACATAGCACTATTTTGTTCCAGATTCTATTTGTCAGTCATATGTACAGTGCATACAGTCAAACATGGTATTCTGCCAGTTCGCCCTGGTTCGGGCGAACCAGTAGTGGCGGTGGCAGGAGGCTGCCCACCTGCCCAGACATCATCATGGATGCTCTGCGCATGTGCAGAAGGTTCTGCGCATGCGCAGAAGCACCACATGTGAGCGAAGCGAGCATGCATGCATGCGCGTACGCTCCCGGTTTCGAGGCGGTAACGAAGATTAGAGCATTTCATGTCTGCATACAGTATATGACAGAAGTGAGTACACCCCCTCACATTTTGTAAATATTTAAGTATATCTTTTCATGTGATAACACTGAAGAAATGACACTTGGCTACAATGTAAAGTAGTAAGTATACAGCTTGTATAACAGTGTAAATGTGCTGTTCCCTCAAAATAATGCAACACACAGCCATTAATGTCTAAACTGCTGGCAACAAAAGTGAGTACAACAAAATTGAGTACACAGGTACATTCATACTATGGAATTGACATTTAGAATGTCCCAATTGCCTAACCTTAAAATAGACAATTCCACGGCATTAATTTGCTTCTGAACATATATTTTTAAGGAATGAACTGTTAAGCATATGCAAAGGGAAAATTGAAATGATGAGGGTCTAAATTTAGTTCTTTTTTATTTAAAAATGGTAACTAATTTTGGGGCTTATGAGAAAGAGGAAGAAAAGCCAGGGGTTGTCTGGTTCTTCTGTATTTCTGTTTGTGAAAGAAAAAAGCACATCCTGTACTTCTAAAAATAAAGATACCTTTTTGTGCTTGCAATGTTTTGACAATAAAATGCTGGACTTTATCATAGATCAGGCCCAGCCGAGCAGCATTTTGATGAGTCTTATCCACTTGTTTGGTGACATATTTTAGGTAAATGAGATCCTTCCTAAATAAAATTGCGTCCCTTTTATGTTTTTTTTCAGGGTGAAGCAGGCAAACCAGGCAAATCAGGAGAGCGAGGATTACCTGGACCTCAGGTATGGCTGTGTCCTCCGTATCAGTATAGATCGCTAGATTCAGAAACCACAATCCTCCGATTTTTGCAGGTTATAAGAGGCACAGTATAAAATTATAGTGTTTGGGGCCAAAAGGTCTTTCTTTTCTCTTCCTGGTGACAGACTGAAAATTGCAACCTCCATGATGCTAAGTGGGTAGTACTAACACCCTGCTTTTTGGGTACCTTTACTGCAGCACTGTAATTCTGTATATCCTAATGTGAAAGGACTGAAGTTAAATCAGGATACTGAAAGGCGGAAGTAAATAACAGGAAGCAAGCAAAATATTCTCACCTTCCCTTTAATGATGAAGATAATCAGATCGAGGAGGAAACGAAGGGTTATAAAGGCCATTTTTTGTCTGACTTTGTTTTCTTTTATCGTGATAAACATCTGTGCGCCCGACTGATTTAGGTTCTATGTAAAGGACTATTGAATTAGAAACCCAGTTTTTCCTTTAACTTTTGCAGATATCGTAGTTTTTAATCTGTTACGAAGTTAGCAGTAATGTGGGAATTGTCGCATGTGTGTTTTAGAAAACGTGCCTATTTTTTTAACCAATTAATTTCTCATTTAAATTTAGGGTGCTCGAGGTTTCCCTGGCACCCCAGGCCTTCCTGGTGTCAAAGGTCACAGAGTAAGTTTGTATTTTGCACATGAGATTTTTAAATTTTAATTTAATTCAGAATTGATCCCTATACTTCTCCCACTCTCTCTCTCTCTTCTAGGGATATCCTGGTTTAGATGGCTCTAAAGGAGAAGCTGGAGCTCCAGGTGCTAAGGTAGGACCAAGAACTCCCATCCTAACATATGATTGGTGAAAACCCTGCTATTCTTTTAGCGTATTGTTAAGCTTACATTTATTTGTGCCTTTTATTCATTTCCCACCCATTCCCAAATATTAAATTATAACTGATCAAGTCCTACTTTCTTTAAAGGGAAGCTTCGATCACGTTGAATCCAATGGTTGCAGGCAGGAAAAGCAAAATTAACCATTCCTAGATTGAAATTCATTTGATAGAAAAAGAATCTCAGCTGCCACTTTGCTGGTCTAGATTTTTTTCCCCTCAAGGAAGTTACATGAAAAGGAGCAGCAGTTACGGTTATTGTAGAAGGGAGAAACACTCCCTTTTAAAAGGATGCTGATTTCTACTGATACAGAAATCAGTTCAGCAGAGATGCCAAGTCAGACATTAAACAATGAGATTAGCAATCAACTTATTTAAAAATATTTTTAAAAGAAATTGTACATTTGTTTTCACTTTTTAAACGAACCAGCAAAAACTGTGATTTGAAAATAGTTAAATCATGATTATATTAATTATGCCATATTGATACAGTGTGTACTTATAGTTGTATTATTTTATGGCCACCAATTGGTGTTCCTTTTGCTAATCTCTGTGGTGCCACTTACTACCCATTGCATTATGATATCTCTAGCCATCCTATTTATCTTAAAAACATTTGGAATTTTATATTAAGACACTTGCATTGCGAAGGAATATGCATGAGGATTCCCAGAACACCTAGGTCCTATTTTATACTGTGATAGACAATAATCAATCAATCAGAATTGAGCTGGAAGGGACCTTGGAGGTCTTCTAGTCCAACCCACTGCTCAAGCAAGAAACCTTACCATTTCAGACAGGTGGCTCTTCAGCCTTTTCTTAGATACCTCCAGTGATGAAGCACCCACAACTTCTGAAGGCAAGCTGTTCCTCTGGTTAATACTTTTGATACATTTGAACAGTTGACCTACAGAAATCTTTCTCAACTAAAAGAAACTATTTGCATCGTTAAAAAATATATTCTGAGAACTTTAAGAGAAGAGCAATTTTGATCTCTTCCTCCCAGCCAGTCTTTTTTGCTGTCTAAATTTTGCTCCTTTGAAATCCAGGGAATCCAGAACACGTTCCACCTCAATAACTCTCAGTTCTAGAAAACTGGAGTTCTTTTGCAGCAGGAGAATTCACCTCAAGTAGCCCTTTGTATAGCAACTGCCTGATTAGCTACCATTCACAGTTATGACTGTGATGAAAAAGTAACTTTGAAACCAATGTTCACATTTATGATTTCAAGTCTGTAAAGCAAAGGAAAGCTGAAGTAAAGTAAGCGCAATCTTGGTTTCACTTAGCAACTGCTTTGTTTAATGACTGAATTGCAGGTCCCAATTATGATCACTAAAGAGAACTACCTGTACTCCCTGAACAGTGATTAAGTGTTAACCTGGCTAACTTGGTACCAAGCTTTTGGTACCAAGCTGGAACTGATTACAGAATCTAATAGCTATAGGGCATCCTCTAATGAAGATGTGTTGAAATGTCCAGCCATCAGTTAGCTATTGATGTGTTTTCCATGTTTTTGAATGTCCCTCTAGTGTTCCCTTGATGTGAAAGGTAGTAATGATTTTGCAACTGAGGCCAACTATGATGTCCCAATCTGTTTTGTATTTTCTGTTTAATGACACAAATGTCTAATAATAGTTTAGTTACCATTGTTCCTTTTTTTCTCTAGGGTGAAGCTGGATCTTCTGGGGAGAATGGTTCTCCTGGTCCTATGGTGAGGATCCATTGTTCCGTTAGTTTTTAATCGCTATTACCAACATTGTAGGTTGGCCATTGTCCATATCTGATTATCCATATAGAGCATACTTTGTCCATCTTCATATCCCTTCTTTGCATCCCCATAGGTTAATACAAACAGACTGCATTTACATTTTGAGTTCCATGGAATCTAGATGACACAGGTAGAATTCTTATGTAAAGTAGTTTCCTACCCATGCTTCCTTAGTCACAGCGTGTATGTGCTTGTGCACAGTATCAATCATGGAAAATGCATACACACAAACAGTAGAATCCTACAGTATTCAGAGATCTCTCTCTCTCTGCATCTCTTGCTTGTATATCCTAGCAGGCATTTCACAGGTGAATTATTATTATTATTTACCGCATGACACATTCACATCACATTTCGAGAAAAGCAAAAGATAAAAATACAAAATATGAAATACAAGCTCTAAAATATGTCTAGATTACAGATACATTTTTTTTCTTCATTTGTCACAGCCAGGAAATCAGCAAAGTCTCCATCATAGATTCCTTTTTGACACTCTGTCACTACATGTTGAATAGTTTGTCTTTCGGCCCCACAGTTGCAATTCAGTGATGGTATAGAGGGCGTCCACACATCTACCATGGCCAGTGCGAATTCAGTCCAGTGTTGGTGAACTAGAAGATAAAACTCACAGGATATTAGTTTTCAGAAGGTAGCTCTCTTGAAGGACGGTAGGGCTCTAATACCTTTTTAACCTTTGCTTCTATTATTCCTTAGGGTCCTCGTGGCCTTCCAGGTGAAAGAGGACGTCCTGGCCCATCTGGTGCTGCTGTAAGTATCAGCATAGTTTGAATGTTGCAGATCCTGCCTTCTGGACATGTTGCTTGAGTGCTTTTTACATCTACAGAATGCATAAACCAGGGGTGGGTTCCTGCTGCTGTTGGTACTGGTTTGCTTTGAGCGTGTGTGCGCAGTTCACTGTAAATTATTCTCAACATGCACGAAAAACATGAAAAACTACTAAAAAACATGCCGGCAACGGCAGCGGAGACCAGGAAACTGGTTCAGAGGCGTGGCCAACCTGGGTCGCTGCCGATTCTGTGACCCAGGCCTAATTCCTACTACCAGTTCGCCTGAACCGGTGCAAACCGTAGAAGCCCACCACTGGCATAAACGCATCTATGCCTTCAGCAGAAAATCCTTGCCCTCTTTGCAATCTCCATCTAATTCACTGCGGCCAATTCAATCTCCTGGAGTAGCGGTGTATCCTCCTAATGTAAAAGATGAAGGAAAATTAATGCAGCACCATGAGGGCTGTGCATGCAAACCACACATACTTTTTAATATACCCTTAGGATAAGGATGGTAGCATTTACTGTGCCATGAATAGTGAAGCTGTACAAAAGCAGTGTTAATTAAAGGGAAGCATTTGTGTGGAAAACAGTTTTAATTATCTTGTGGTCTGGACCTCAAATATAGGATGAAATTTTGTGCTAAACCTGTCTTGGGCACCTTCTAGTTGTGTGGACCTAAATTCTCAGAAATGATTGGGCTGCTTAGAGAGAGACATCGGAAATTGCCCAGACTGAGAAAGGCTGCAATAAAAGAAAAGCCAACGTAATGAGGTCTTCCTTCCTTTCTTCTTTCTACCTGCCTTTCCTTAACTATCATATCCAACAAGATTATGGAAGCAACATGTAGCGTGGGTTGCCTTTTGAAGTAAAGCTTCTAGCTTAATGGCTCTAGAAGCAACTTCTGGAAGGCAGGAGAATAAAATAGCATCTTAATGTAGCTGTAAATTTGGATGTACCTGAGATGCTTAATCTCAGATCTTATAGGATTAGTAGAGAGCCCTTTTGTGTAGTGGTTAAGCCTTCAGGTTAGAAACTGGGAGACCATGAGTTCTAGTTCCACTTTAGGCACAAAAACCAGCTGAATGACCTTGGGCCAGCCACTTTCTTTCAGTCCTAGGAAGGAGACAAGGGCAAACCGCTTCCCAAAAACCTTACCAAGAAAACTGCAGGGACCAGGCAGTCAACAGAAGTCAACACTGACTCAAAGGAACACAAATAATATAGTCATAAGATTAACGCACTGATTGGACAATAGGAAGGATTTCTCTGTAAAAAGTTATTGGAACAGACCTATTCCCTATATTTGCTTATTTTGTTCTTGCACTGCCCTGGCATAAGATGACATACATGGTCCATTCCGTTTGATCTTCTCAAAAATTTTGCATAGCCAATTAGTCTGAGAAATGGTGATTTGTGCAATGTCAGTGGGTAAATTCTGCAGTGTACTGTAAGTACAATGCAAAACAAAGCTGAACTTTCAGGTGCAGATATTTTTACAGAGCTATAAGTCAAAATAAATTCTCCCTTTGTTCCATTTCACATCTCAAAAAGATGTGATCCCTCATTTGCCACTGCACTAAACATTGCCTGAAATCTCTTTTGGCTTTTTTTTTTAACCACATGGTAAAATTTCTCTAATGGTCATTATAAAACTCAGCAAGGCTGTTTTTGGCTTAGGTTCCAGACTGTTTATTTACACAGATTTGAAATGTCGAAGAAATTAAGGAGCTGAAGTAATCAAGTTACTCAATAGTAGTAAATCAAGATTTGCAGTAGTAGGAAAAAGTAGGATTTACTGTTTCCTGTGACTAAATTTAAATCCATCATATTGAAGAGATTTAAGAGATTGAGGGAGAGTGTGGGACAAGATACGTGGTTCATCTCAGAATAGGCGAGTCTCAATTCGACAGACGTGTGTGTATGGTGGTGGTGGGAATTAAGATATTTTGTTTTTACTGACTGACTGCAATACATTTGAGGGTGGGAAGTGATTGTTGAAAACCTACCCTGTTTTTACCCCAGTATAGTATTAAATATAGTTTCCTAAAATCGATGTCATTCTTATTTCCTTGGTTTTGCCACTACATGAGTCTTGGCAACAGGAAGGTAATTTCCTGGGGGCTATTTTGTCATCACTATAGTTTTTGTAAGTTTCTTATCGCTCACCAAATATAAGGACAGTTTACACTTGTGATGGAGAAAAAAATATTTTTAATGACAATTGTTAAAGCAACAACAAACACATTTTTAAAAAATAGTTCCACTTCAAAATAGGGGAATATAAACTTTGGAAGGTGAAAGCAAATAATTTTATTCAGAGTATACAGTTAGGATGTTTAAAAAGGGTTTTAACTTGGTCTAAGCAAATAATTCAATAAGATGTGTGGTTTGCAATTGAGCGATCCTCTGGATTTGCTCTTTGAATCCACAGAACTGTCTTATCAAAAGCTCTTCTGAGTTATCTGAGTGGTTTATCCGTTAAGGAGTTATGTTTGCACAAACTTAGTTTTTTACTACAATCGAAGGGAGGCATGTGAAGGAGGCATGCTTTTTGTTTGGCTTTAAGTCCTTTGATGGCATCCCCTTGAGGGTTTTGGATTGTGCTGACGAGAGTCACGTGACCCTTCGACCTCACCTTTCCATTTGTTTTCCTGGCCCGTTGCCTGAGACAGGAGCAACTAGGCCAAGCAATTAGTCTTTAGTTACAGGAGGGCAGGAATGTCAACCCATTAGCTGCTGAGAAGGACTCCTACAAGAGGCCCTGCTCAGGCTCTGGGATTGTGTGAGATTAGAACTACAGCCCTGTAGAAAAGTACAATCCTTTCTAAAACCCATTGTTCAAAGAATAGCCTTAGATATGACTCAGATGTCCTAAAATTGAAGGATGTTGTTGTTTGCCATAATTTTTTCAAGACTAGTATGATTTCCCTTTTTCTCTTGTGAACCAAAAGACATAGATGATTTAAAAAAACAGAATTTTTCTAGAAGAGTTATATAGAACTGTAGCATATCTAACTTGAAATTTAAAGAAATCCAACTTAGACCCTTTTATTCCAGCTGTTGCATGCCTCCAAAACTGGAAAGTTGTAGAAGCGAGCCTCAAAGATCTTTTCATTGCTTGTATTTCCATGAGCATGTACCTTCTCACATATTCCATTTTGCCTCATGAGTTAGAGCAGTATATGAGCAGATTTCTACTCATGTAACATATTTCTTCTTCCTTTTTCTCCTCGTTGACTTCCTGGCACGCCTCCAGCTATCCAGAGAAGATGTTAGCATACTGATGGAGAACAAGGGAGTAGGGCAGCTATTAGATAGCTAAAGACTTGCTCAGAATTCTAAATCCATTTGGCAGCAAAACTCCAAATATAACAATACTGTTGTCTGACGAACTATATTTTTCTGAGTCAGTATTTTGTTCACACAGGGTGCTCGTGGTAATGATGGTCTCCCTGGTCCAGCTGGTCCACCGGTAAGTAATTGTTATAATTTTTCCCCTTCTGAAAAATGATTGTTACATTTATCGTTAGTATAATAATATGATCTAACTTTTTTTTTAAAAAAAAAATCCTCTCCTTGGTTATACCAGTGATATCATGAAAGGCAACAACATTATATTGTAAAACCTATCCTCTATACCTGTGATGGTTAACCTATGGCATGTGTGCCAGAGGTGGCATGCAGAGCCCTCTCTGGGCATGTGCGCCATCGTGCAGTTTTTATGACTTTTTCCCTCTTTTATCCCTGATCAACTAAGCCAACTTCATAAATCTTCCCTGAATTTTTATTGAAATCTCTAATGAATAACTCACAAGAAAAAAAGAAGAAATACTTTGAAGGTAGCTTGTTAAAAACAAGGAACAACAATAACCTGAGCCGAGGTGGCGCAGTGGTTAGGGTGCAGTACTGCAGGCCACTTCAGCTGACTGTTATCTGCAGTTTTC